CTGTTGATAAAAAATTTGGAAGTTTTACAAAATCTACATATATGTATATAAAAGAATGCCTGTTTGCGTGTTTGTTATTTCGCGTTATTGATTTCTGATCAATTATGATGAACTTTTTAAGACATTTAATCGACTAAAATTGAATATAGGTGAAATATTAGATGGAAGTCGAGCTTTTACGAAGAAAAACGAAAATCATTAAAAACTGCGTGCTATTATTGCTGTTATAATGAGAGAGAATTAGTTTATTTTTCTATGGAAATATTTCATGTGGGTTCCATATCTCATCAGACTGAAGAATGTATGACTATGAAAATTGTATTTTTTGCATCGTTATTAGAGAAGAGTTATAGCAGTATTGTTCCTTTCGTTGTTAGATACATTCATCACTCTCAATCTAAGTTAACTGGCATCGGGTACTTCCGCTAGTTTATTAACTAGTTATTCCGCTTCTTATTTATTTCGCTAGTTTCAAAACTGTTGCTTCTATACACATTTACTTCATATAAAAAATAATACCACAAATAATTTAACTATTGCCTAACTCTCATTTAGAAACAAGCAACGCGCCATTAACTTCAAAACTCTCCAAAATATTCTTTTCCTTATATTTCTCACTGTAATTATCGGTAACTCTCTTCCCCGGAGAGTTTCAAAACGAATGCTCTTTTCGAACTTTAATCTCGTATTACCATTAGCAAAATTTCAAATGAGTTCTGGCAGCTCTTCCCGCTGCTACGAATTTCGTTATTTTTCCCATTTTCCGCAGAGGTTTTCTCGAAAATTGTGTGGCTTCTTCATTTAAATATTTATCTTATTCCATTTCGTAATTCGTTTTATGGCAGCAATAAAGAGACATTAGCTCCACGAAAAATTTTAGTTCCCGAAAAACATTTATCCTAACGTCCCATTGTTTGCTCGCACCGCAGTTAAATTATAGAATATGATACTAAGCTGGCTGTAAATGGTATTAGTTTGTATGTGAAGGGGGGAGATCATAAAAGAAGTATATGGAATTTGAAATATGCATGTATCGCGTGCATGTTTTTATATAAAATTAGTAAAGTAAATTGTGCTGTTGTTGTAAAATTTGTGTATAAAATCGCAAATATTAAATCAGCTATGAAACCTACAAGGTTAATAATGGAGATTTAAAGCCACTATGGTTATTGCAAGTTTGTAACTCTAACAAAATAATATTTAGATTAAAAAAAACTTGAAAACTATTTAGATTAAAATAAATAAATATTTGAAAGGTTTCAGATTTTACATTATGCCCAAAGGGGCACTTTTTTTTAACATTTTGTGTGTTACCTTTATTTGTTAAATATTATGTTCTTCCCTCTTAAACCATAAAATTCAATTCAACAAAAAATATCAAAAAATAATTTAAAAAGAGCTTACCTTTAGAATTTTCGATACACAGTCTCGCGCGCTGAAAATAAAGATGTCCCCCCCGCACAGTGTTGCCATTTCTCGCTTTGGTTTTTGGTTTGGTTTTATTAGATTACGGCAAAGCACTCGAGGGCTATCTGCCTTAAGGGATTCTTCGTGAAAGACTTTCTAAAGGAAACTGGCTAGTATACACCTTACATAAGGGAAAACCACGAAAACGCCCATGCAGCTAGCCCGTTCGCGGGATTCGACATTTCTCGCTCGCTTGGAAATCGTTAAGCTCGTTAATCAAAAATTCCTTACAGTTTTACAAAGTATGAAATAGGTGGTAGACACAGATTCCAATTTTGGGCTTCAAGATACCCATATTCGAGTGGAGAACTGCATTATTCAAAATTGGATGGCTCTAGGAACCGTTATTTTATCACAATGCGAAAAACATGCATACATTTATGCAGATTCTTCATTATTTACTTTCTTCAAATACAATACGGGGCGATAATATTGGGTGGCAGCAATTTTAAAAGTGACGCACCGTTTATAGTGATTTGACTCAAAATGCCAAAATGAAATTAATAGCCCTTCTGGGCTAACCCCCTTTGGGCTAGAAAGGTCTGAAAACAAACTGTGCTTAAATGATATAGTTATAATTGTAAGGAGGTGTCACATTCTTCATACGTGCTACTGTGGTGTAATTGGTTATCACCTGCAAGCAGTAAATCCGAAAATTCGTGGTTTATTTTACGTTATTATATTCGTGGCCCAATTTATTTCGCATCTTTCCAGACTCTAAAAGAGCGAACAGTCTCTAGAGTGAAGCCCGAATTAAAGAATGCTGTAACGCGGCACCTCCTGCAGTTATTCGACTGGGTTAAGGCCTTTCTCCAGTTGCCTTTTGGACAAAGCCGCTGTTTTATGGGATCGAGTCAAAACTGCTCACTCGATGAATTGATTAGGTTCTTTTCATCACTCACCGCTCACTAACAATAAAATTGAGGAAAAAGATCAGGAATGAGAAGTGAGTCAAGAGAAGTTAGCGAGGATGGAGAAAATTTCATAGCTTATAATTAAAAATTTCTTCTCGAAAAAATTACAAAAATTACTAAAAAATACAAATTTTAAAAACAAATTAGAACATAGTACAGACTTTTATTTGGACTGAACCTAAATTTCGAACTATGAAAGAAGGATCTCAAGTAAGCTTAATAAACAAAGAGATATTAATAAAAGTATACCAAATTCAATTAATACTGAGGAGCTAAAATTCTTTGAGCTAATTTTTATAAAATATTCTCGTGCGATTTCTACAAAACTTGGCACTTTGGCACAATTTGAGAAGTAGAATCGAAATGTGGGGAAAGAAAGGGTTTGTTTTTTTAGAAGAAGTCTGATTTTGTGTCGGAATTCCTATGTTAGAAACATGCTATACATAAATAGAATATATTCCAGGTCGCGCTTTCGAGACAGTAAAAACGCAAGTTAAATTTCGTCAATCGGTTCAGTAAAACGAGAGATATGACACAGAATCCAGAATGCCTCCCTTTTTATGGTAGAAGTTGTATATTTACATAAAGTACTCAGAATGCTTTTTAAAAAAATTCGTTATTTTACTGGTGTTTGGAATAAGATAGATCTCTGTGTATAGTAAAATCCTTAACTGGCAATTACTCTCACATACTGAACTCAACTTAGTCCTGAAGTAGGAACGTAAAAACAGGAAACAACAATATGGTGACAAGGCAAATGCACTCATAAAACGTTAATTCGGATTGTAACGTTTCATGAGTTTTCTTATAGGAGGGACGAAATCCCTCCCACTATTGAAATGGCTAGAATATTTTTTCTTTGGATATTATTCCATTTTGAAAACGGTAAAAAATTGCAGCGAAAATGTATGCGCAAAAGCGCCAAATCTAGCAAACGCGCCCATTTAACAGTGCGCCAAATCTAGCGTACGCGCTAATTTCAGATTGCGTAAGTTTATATAGTTCTGCATTTCTTAAGACGCCATTGAAATACTACTTTAATTTTTAAATCCTTTTTTGATTTTAAATCCTTTTTTAATATCCTATAGATTTAATAATTTGGGAATTGCCCATGACGAAAAGTCGGCAATAGAATTCTGGGTAAAATGCAGAATCACCCATTGTTTGACGCGTTTTTAAGAATTGCACATACTCGGTATCCATGTGCTCATCGATCTATTTTCACTTAAAAAAAAAAAAAAAATCCCAGAATTGCACAAAAATGGCACTGAGCACACCCTTGGCTTTATCTATGTACACATCGACCTATTTTCACTAAAAAGCAAAAGAAAATTGACAAAAATCCAATTGTTTTCACCCTTGTAAAAAGCGGCAAACAAATAAGTGAGCGATTCTGCACTTTACCGAGAATATTTTCAAAGAAAAGGCATCATTCATTATAGAAAATTACGCTTGAACAACCAACAAGATGAAATTATGCTTTAGCGATAATTCGGTAGCGAAATTATGCTTTAGCAAATTCGGTAGCGAAATAGCGAATGCAAGCATCCATTCAGTTATGTTTAGCAATTTTTTTATAAATTATAATAATGATCTGAAATAGTTATTTACTCTTATGCTTCCATTCAGTCATGTTTAGTCTTTTTCATATAAATTACAATAATAAAAATTATTAAATGAAACTAACCTTTCATCTAAATTAAAACATCAATCTTTGATAGTTATTTACTATTATACTTCCTTTCTTGCCGCAATTATTTTTGGCAGCATTGGCATCAATAGTTTGGCGATTTTTACGACCCTCAAAACCCAATAGTACCTTTCTTTATAATAAATCAAAATCTATACATTTGCCAATATAGGCCTCATTTGAAAAATGATTTTTCAAATTTCCTTTCATGTTGTTACGAAACTTACAGCTGCGGTAAGATAGCTTCTCTGGAAACCGGGTTTAGGGTTGCTAGAAAATAGCAAGGATAGTCAGGGTTTCCAGATTTGGCGGGATATTGCCCATTTGGTGACAGAACTTGTGATATGCCATAGAATGAGCGAGGACATTCTAGAATAAATTCTTACGGTTTTCTCGAGAATGTTCTCGAAGACAGGTCAAAAACTATAAATACGCTGCCGGTACGCGGAGTAGCAGATTATCGCGAAGAGTATCTGGAGTATGTTGAGTTCAGCAGTAGCTTTGCCGTGAAGCTGTCTTCACCGTTATAGCCTGATACACTGAGTGATGTGTTGCTGATTGTTTGAGAATGTTTATTGTATTTTTTTGACAGCTATAAACGTGTCTTTGGAACTCTTCTGTGTAATACTGACGAATAAATTGTGCTTTGATTCTTCATCAAGAGTCCTCAATCACTCCAAATCCATGAACCAATAATAAGATATATTAAAAATCTTTTTGAATTAAAAAGAAGAGGGGAAATGGTGTTGAAGCGACATTTTTTCCTCGATTATGTTTTGCCCTGGCATTTTAGCGCTAGGTTCTAATAGTTTTAAAAACATTCCCGTTATTTATTGTTAATTTTTTAGTACTTTCAGTGAATTCTCTACATAATCATTGTTTTCGTGTTACTAACAAACACATACAATCACCACCTACCTGTGAAGGTCATGCCGAACATTTCTCCTCCAGCTGTGGAACTTCATGCCAGCCAAATACAAAAAACCTACTCCTCACAGAAAACAGACACGAACCGGCCTTCACCGACCGATTTGGTTGAGTCGGCCGCACATGCACCTTCTCTGATCATTTATGGGTGATTGGAGACCTAAGGAGTAGCAGAGATAACAATAAGAACAGGAGAGATTCAAGAAAATAGAAATGAAGATATTGAAATTTTGAATATTACTTTGTATTCTCTATGGAATGTAGGTTACTTAAAAAAAAAATAGTATTGTGATAGTTACCTGCAGTTTATCTATTTTTCATTTGTTATTTTCCTCTTATTGTAACCGCAGGCCACCAACGGCCGAGCGGTAAAGTTATAAGGTATTTCTCCCGCCTTTTTGGCATGGCTTCGTGGTGTGGTGCTCTGCACACTGGGCGCGTATTCCAGAGATCCGCAGTTCGATTCCCGGCGAAAGCGTTCCTCATTGTTCATACCTCCTGCTTCCAAAAAATACCTAATGACACTACAGTGGCGCCCGAACTAAGAGGGTTCTGAATGATGATTCTCCACAACCAGGATTTGCGAATCACCTTATTTCTCCAGCCAAATACAAAATGCTGGAGAAGTATTTCTCCAGCATTTTGCATTTTGTATACCTTCTTGGCGCGTATTCCAGGGGGCCACGGTTCGATTCCCGGCGAAAGCTCTGCTCATTTTTCATCTTGCTGCTTCCAAAAAATAACCTAATGTCACTACAAAATCGCTGGACGCTGGTAGTTCAGTCAGAGGTTCAAATCCCACGAACGGGCTGGCTAGCTGCAAGGGTGTTTTCGTGGTTCTCCCCACGTGTAACGCGTATAAGAACCTATTTCTCTCAAAAGGTCTTCCACGAACGCATCTGCCTTCGAGACTTTGCCGTAACTACATAAACCAAACCAAATTAAACCTTACTGTAACCGCGTTCTTCGAAAATTAAATTGACTCGCATGGTTTTCTCCTCCCGGTTTCTGAATAAAATTAATTGAAAAAATTTAAGAAATTAGTTAAAAAATAAAAACTAGTTAAAATTAGTACAAAAAGGTTGATGGAACAAATTAAGTTCATGAATCAAGATTTCAGTTTATTTTTAAAACATTATGCAAAGAAAATTTCCCATACGTGTTTTTACTGTTTCTAACACGAGTAGTAATAAATTAGAGTACTTAGTAAAACCGAACGATGCAGCGCAATGAAGAACAATGTCAATAACCTAATATATATAGCGCTCATGTCAGTTTTTTCATAGCATTCGATAAATACCTCGCCACATTCCAACGACTAACTTTATTCTTTCCAAAATGGCATAAATAATTGCACCGGGCCCCACCCGCCATCCCACCGGAGTTAATCTACCGAAACTGAATCTTTTGTTAGCGGCGAAGCTGTTTTTGTAACACTGTTGATTAAACGCACGTTGCTTAATGATGCGGGGCCAATAAAAAAAGGAAATCTCTCGTATCTTAGGAGAGATCAAAGGAACGTTGCCTTCTCATCTTTGACGGATTTAGAACTTTACAATTTAATTTGAGGAGAAGACGCAGATGATACGCTCCATTCGAATCGTTCTCCGAGGTATTTGCCACGCCCATCAATCTTTGTAAAGTGGCTTGCTCTCATAACGATCAGTTGTCAGAGAAGCCAACTTATAATGTGGGAAAGGCTAACCACCTTAGAACGTAGAATTTTAAAGTTTTCGGAGCAGAGAAAATCAGCTATACCTTCAATGGGATTGGTGCTACGTATCTTCCACTTCCTAATCGATACATTACGCACTTATACCGCGAAAGCACGCACGGGGGACTCCGATAATTCCATACAAATAAACCAAGGAAAAGTGTACAACAATGCTCTATAATGATATCTCGTCACAACAGCACACTTTTCTGCAAACCAGCCTGTACTCCTTAAGACACTGTACTAAAAGAAAAGATACCCAAGCCTGGCAAGCACGAGGCTGCCTCTTTAACACAGTTAAACCCCCGAACCCCTGTAGGCGATCCAAGGGAGACTAACCCCCAGCCAATCCAGGCGGACAATTTTTGTTTCACGCAGTCTCTGTATAAACAACGCACAAAGTCAATGGTAGACAACAGTGCATTAACAAAACAAAACAAAAAAAAAAAAAAAGAGTTACACATCGACCATCTTTCCAGTTTTGACCATGGAGGTAGGAAGTGAGAAGGAGAGGCCCTAACCAGGTTCCCCCATACACTGGCGATCCCTTCTTGGGGACCAAAATATTCAATGTTTTACCATCAAGTTCAGGTTAATGGTAAAACATTCAATGGGGAATAAGTGTATGGGAGAAAACTAACCGCTTATTCCCCATATACTCTTATTCCCATATTCCTTCGTGGTGATCAAAACATTCAATGTTTTACCATTACGTTCAATGGATTTTGACACAATCGGATGTAAATATTTTGTAATTATGTCGTAAATACACATATAAATGTATATATTTTCTTTTTTTTTCTGCAATATTTCAGAATCCTAAGTATATGAAAAGAATACAATTTTAAACAGCATTTCATTCTGAACAGAATTAAATGCTATATTTTTCACAGAACAGTTTGCTCAGAAAGGTTTAATTTGAATGAAATATTTATAATGAATTATATTAGAATATATATAATGAATTATATTAGAAAAAATGTATGGTAATTCGATTTTAGTCGGTTAAGGATTACAAAAATTAAGATCAAAGTTTATTGTATTATTAATATTAAAATTACGCATTATTTCTTTTCTATTTATAAATCTTCTTCCTAAAATACTTTCTGAAATATGGCATGATGTTTTAGCTTCTGAGGCATCTTTTAAATCGAAAAATATAAATCAATTAATAATTAATGCTCTATTCGGTCCATTTCAAATTAGATCACCTTTTATTTTAATAGCGAAATATGTTAAATAGTATTTAACTTTCTCTGAATATTTTTGAAAGGGAATAAAAAAATGATTTTTTAAATATTATTTAAAACTTGTAATTGAGTTATTATAAAAGGTAAGGAATGATTCTTTAAATTATATTCATCAGATATTTTTGCTCTTAATTTCAGCAATACATATTCTAAAACTCTTCTTTACTACTTCCTTAATTAAGTACGCATCTCATAGAATTTGCTTTACAATACCTTTTAACGGATTGTTTTCCAGTACAAAGAATTCTTGCTTAAATAGCTTTATAAACGTATTTGTCAACAGATTTGAATTTATGTTTACAATTCAATGTTAAGGTTATTATATATTTATATAATATTTATAATCATTATAAATTTAGATGCAATTTAGCATATACCCGAAATTCTTACATAAGAAATATGTACAAATTTAATTTTAATGAAAATTCCATGCATTATTTTTAATACCCACACAAAGGTAAGTTTTTCTTCGATATTCCTCCACGATGGCATCTTCTCTTTAGACAGATAGCCCTTGCATGCCTTATTGTATTTGATAAAAACTTAACCAGACCTATGTGCCTAATTACAAATATTTTAACATGCATACTTTTATATTTACATTTAGCCATCAAGTTTCAAACTTTTGACTTAAAACACGTTTTAGGATACATTCATTATCAAATTCAAATCTTCTAATAAATATATTTTGACAGAGCACTCATTACCTCTTTTGGCGATTTTACCGAGTTTAATGATTCTCTGATAATTATAATAAATAATAATTATCCATTTCACACTTAAACATTAACGGCATTTTCATCAGATTGCAATGTGGGTTGCTTTACTCTGTATAACATTGCTTCATTCGCCGAGTTCGCTAATGCATCCATCTTCTGTTCCACACATTTGTGTAAAACCGTATATAATTTTACACAAATGTGTGGTTACAAATCAAGGAAAAGTTAGCTTATTGGCATATCTGTGTGTATATTTATTATTGTTACGAAATGTACAGGCGCGGTGAGATAGCTTCCCCGCAAAGTAGTTTTAGGGTTTCCACAAAAATAGCAAGGAAGGCAGGGTTGAAACAGTCGGCGATAAATCGCCCATTTGGCGACAAAATCGGCAATATGCCATGGACGGTTGGAGAACCTTCTGGAACGAATTCTTACCGGTTTAGCCCAGAATATTCTCGAACACCAGTCAAAAGCTATATAAACCCTGCTGGTACGCGGAGAGTTATTATTATTATACACCCGGGACTGTGCTCTGTGTGTCGTCGAGTGCATCGCGAGTTGTAGCGGGATAGTGTTGAGGGTACGTGGAGTTCCAAGAACGACCGAGCAGAGTCAGGAGCTGTACTCTGGTGCTTTGCAGTGAAGCTGTCTCCACCGTGATAGCCTACTAACCTGAAGGTTGTGTCGCTGATCGTGTCAGCGTGTTTATAGTAGTTCATTGACGACTGTGAAACGTGTTTTTGAGCTGTCCTGACAATACTTGCTAATAAAGTGTATTTCAATACTTCATCAAGTAGTGTAATCGTTACTCACTCCAAATCCACACGAACCACGTACGAACGTGAAAGAAGAAAATAACGTAACAACTGGTGTCAGAAGAAAAGAAACACAACATTATTTTTGATGAGGATTGCAGCATTTGGTGGTAGTTTTATTTTTTAATTAACCCAAATAAACAAAAAGTGTAAACACAAAGTAATTATTTTAAAATTATATTAAAATAAAATGATGAGTTTAAAATGAGCAACTATAAAGCCTCTCCTCTAAAATTTTTCAAAAGTACTATCAGGTTCAATTTTCCTTCTAACCTTCTTCGGGAACATACAAGGACCTGACTAGGAACAGAGAGCTTACTAAAGCTATGTTCACTAACTGTAGTAAGTAGACAGGATACAGACGAAGGGTATACAAAACCCTTTATTTTTCTCTATATACAATAACTTCCGTACTTCGGAATACACTGACCCTCCACTCGGGGTCTAACGTAAAAAAGTATAAAAATAAAACTAAACTCTAATTTAACTTTAGAACAATACACGTGGAAGATTGGCCTTATAAAAACAGGAAGCGTATGTAGCACAGAGACTGTGAACACTACAATACGTTTAATTTATCAAGAGGATTAAAACCTCTGGCCTGGAAGGCGAACAGGAAACTGCGTAACTTCTAAGGTAAGCGGCCTGCGTTGACTTACTGC